CCAGGTCACCTTAGAATTCATAGGGCACCAGAGTACTCAGAATGGTTTTAGCTCAGTAGTGGTGGAAATTATCTCTAGACTCGAGTCAGCAAATATTTTTATAAAGGGCCAGATAGTAAATATTTTAAGCTTTGTGGTTCATATGGTCTCTAGAGCAACTACTTAACTCTGCCATTGCAGCAGGAAAGCATCCATAGATAATACATAAAATGAATGAGCATGGCTGGCTGTGTTCCCATAAAACTTTATTTATGGACACTAAACTTTGAATTTCATATAACTTTTACAGTCAGAAAATATTCTTCTTTTGACTATTTTGGAACTGATTGAAATGGAAAAACCATTTTTAGCTTGCAAACCATTCAAAAACAGTTGGCAGGCCAGATGTGGCCCACAGGTCATGACTTGCTGACCCCCTGCTCTAAAATAAACTTTGCTCTTGTCCGCCTTACAAAGCAAGGCCCAAATAACTTAACTGAATCCCAGAAAAAACATTTCAAGGATATTTCTAGAGATATAAAATATCCAGTACTGAACAAATACAAATTCCCAAAATCTGGCTTCTAAACTAATGCTTCTTCCCTAAGGTTAGAAACAAGGCAAGGATGTCTACTCTTACCATTTCTATTCAACTCAACACTGTACTAGGAGTTGCAGCAAGTGTAATAAAGCAAGAAAAAGAAATACAAGGCATCCAGATTGAAATAAAGAAGTAAAACTATACCAATTAAAAGAAGAGACTGTCAGATTGGATGGAAAAACAAGAGCCAACTATATGTTGTCTACAAGAACACTACTTTAAATGTAAAGACACATATAAATTAAAAGTAAATAGCTAGAGGGGCTGGCCGAGTGGCGCACTGGTTAAGAGCTGGCTTGGGACACCAGAGGACCCCGGTTCGGATCCCACATATGTGGGCCAATAACACTGCCCTCTACGGCTAAGATGCTGAACAACAGCTCAACCTGGAGCTGGGCTGCCATAGACTGGGAGAAAATATTTGCAAAAGACATATCTGATAAAGAACTGTTATCCAAAATACGTACACAAAGAACTCTTAATGTGCCAAAGACCTTAACAGACACCTCACCAAAGAAGGTATACAGATGGCAAATAAGGATATGAAAAGATACTCCACACCATATGTCATCACAAAAATGAAAATTAAAACAGCAATGAGATACTACTACACATGTATTATTGTAGAATGGCCAACATCTAGAAACTGAAAACACTAAACTCTGGCGAGGATATGGAGCAAGGAACTCTCATTTGTTGCTGGTTAGAATGCAAAATGGTGTAGCTACTTTGGAAGACAGTTTAGCAACTTCTTATAAAACTAAGCCTACTCTTACTATATGATCCAGCAATTACATTCCTTGGTATTTAACTAAAGAGTTGGAAACTTATGTACACACAAAAACCTTCATGCTGATGTTTATAGCAGCTGTATTCATAACTGCCAAAACCTGTAAGCAACCAACGTGTCCTTTAGTAGATGAAATGGTAAATTTGGTACATCCAGACAATGGAATCGAATATTATTCAGTGCCAAAAAAGAAATGAACTATCAGACCATGAAAAGGCATGGAGGAACCCTAAATGCATATGACTAAGTGAAAGAAGCCAGTCTGAAAAGACTACATACTATATAATTACAACTATATAACATTCTGGAAAATGCAAAACTATGAAGATAATAAAAAGATCAGAGGTTGCCAAGGGTTGAAGGCAGAAGAAGGGATAAACAGATACGGCACAGAGGGTTTTAGGGCAGTGGAAGTACTCTGTATGATACTCTAATGATGGATACATATCATTATATATTTATCAAAACCCATAAATGTACAACATCAAGAGTGAACCCAAGGGCCGGCCGAGTGGCTCAGTTGGTTAAGAGCTCGCTCAAGAGTTTTGAGCTCTGAGCAACAGCGGTTCGAGTCCAGCCCGAGCTGAGCAGCCGCTGAGCTGCCAATAGGTAGCAGGATGGCTCAGAAAAAAAAAAAAAAAAAAAAAAAGAGTGAACTCAAGATAAACTATGGACTTTGGATGATTATAATTTGTCCATGTAGTTTCACTAATTGTAACAAATGTGCCACTCTAATGGGGGCTGTTGATAATGGGGGGAGGCTATGCATGTGTGTGTATGTGGGGGGGGGGTATATGGGAACTCAATACCTTCCTCTAAATTTTGCTGTGTACCTAAAACTTCTCTTTAAAAAATAGTCTTAAAAAAAGTTAAACTATCTTTATTCACAGATGACATGATCATTTGTATAGAAAACCCTAAAGATTCTACAAACTAGAACAAATCAGTGACTTTACCAAGGTTGCATGACCCAAGATCAATATATAAAAATCAATTTTATTTTTATATATTAGCAACATGAGAAACAGAAATTTTTAAATGCCTTTAATAAGAGGATAAAACTATGAAACATTTAAGAGATAAATCAGATTAAAAGATGTATAGTACACACACAGTGAAAACTGCAAAGCACTGCTAAGAAAAATTAAAGAACTAAATAGAGGGATAGACCCAATTCTTGTTAAGATGTCAATTAATCTAAAAATTCAATGTAATCCCAATCAAAATTCCAAGAGGCTTTTTTGTAGGAAATGAAAGCAGATTCTAAAATTCATATGGGAATGTAAAAGACCTAGAGTATCTAATAAAATTTTGAAAAAGAACAAGGTTGGAGAACTTATATACTACCTGACTTAAAGACTTACAAAGATACAATAATTGTGGGCAGCCAGGTGGCTCAGTTAATTAGAATGTGTGCTCTTAACAACAAGGTTGCCGGTTCAATTCCCTCATGGGATGGTGGGCTGTGCCCTCCACAACTAGACTGAGGGACAATGACTTGACTTGGAGCTGATAGGTCCTGGAAAAAACACAGTTACCCAATAAAAATAAAAAAAGATACAATAATTGAGACAGTGTGACACTGATGTAAAGATAAGCAAACAGACCCATGGAAGAGAATGCGTAGTCCAGAAATATACCCACATGTATACGGTCAACTGATTTTTGACAAAAGGTAGAATAATTCAGTAGAAAAAGATAGTCTTTTTTTATGTGGTGGTAGAACAAATAGATATCCAAATGCAAAAAAATTCTACTTATACTTCATTATATAAAAAATTAAGTCAAAGCATATCATAGATCGAATGTGAAACTAAAAACTGTAAAATTTCTAGGTAAAAAACAAAGCAGCAAATATTTGTGGCTTTGGATAGTCAAAGATTTCTAATGCGACTTCATCAAAATTAAAAACTGCTCCTCTTTAAAAGATACTGTTAAGAGAATGAAAAATATAAGCCATAGATGGAAAGAAAACATTTGTAAAACTATATCTGACAAATGACATATAAAAGGGTATATAAACAATTCTTACAACTCAATAATAAAAGAGAAACAACCCAAATAAAAATAGGTAAACATTTGAACAAACATTTCACCAAAGAAGACATACGGATGGCAGAGAAGCACATGCAAAGATTCATTAGTCACTAGGAAGATACATATTAAAACCAGAATGAAATGCATCACACACCGATTAGAATGTCTAAACTTTAAAAAGATAGACTAGACCATGTTTTTGTGAAGATCTGAAACAATCAGAAGACATAAATTCTGTTGGCAATGTAAAATAGTACAACTGCTTTTGAAACTGTGTGGTAATTTCTTTAAAGGTTAAACATGTATACCTACTATGACTCAGTCATTCCACTGGTAGGTACTTATTTAAGAAAAATGAAAATGTATATCTATACAAAGACATGCATATGAATGTCCATAGCAATTTTATTTGTAATAGTGAAATACTCATCAACAGGTGAATGGATACACAGAATGTGGTTAATTCACACCATGGAATACTATTCTGCAATATAAGAGAAAGAAATTCTGATCCCTGCAACAACGAGGACAAATCTTAAAATAATTATGCTTAAAGAAGCCAGATGTCCTCATCCTAAAAGGAGTACATACTGTATGATTCCATTTATACAAAGTTATAGAAAACAGAAAATAATTTATAGTGACAGAAAGCAGATCAGCAGCTGTCTGGGGACTGGGAGAGGGACAATAGTAAGAATTACAGAGACGTGAAGAAAACTTTTGGGAATAATGATTATGCTCACTATTTTTATTATAGTGATGGTTTCACAGGTATATACATGTGTTAAAGTTGACTGAATCATATACTTTAAATATGTGCTATTTATGATAATGTCAACTATACCTTAATAAAGCTGTTTTTAAAAAGTAGAATTAGAAAGAATAACATATCTTAATACTGGCATGAAAGGGTGTCTATGACACATATAAGTTAAAAATTTTAAAAGCTGTGGAATTATATGTCATGATCCCACTTATGCAAATTCTATGTGTGTTTATACTGAATACATATCTATATCTATCTATTTATCTATCTATCATCTATATATATATAGAGAGAGAGAGCACCTGAGGAAATATATATATATATATATATATATATATATATATTGTTTACAGTTTGAGAGCTTTTCCTTTTATATGTCCCTGTATTGTTTGAACTTTGTATAACAATCATGCACTATTTCTTAAATTTAAAAAATAGAAGTAAAAAAATAATAAGCAGGTTTAAAAGCCACTGGGAAAGATGAATTTGAAGGTATTTTATAGAAGAAAAAGATGGAGTCTTGTGTTTGGAGGCTAATTCCCAACTGTGGAGAAAAGGAAGGGGCACACGCCTCAGGTTCACCTGCGCTTATCAGATTCAGAACTGCCCCACGTGCTCTCCCAGGAGACAAGCACTGCTTCCGGGAGTTACCTTGATGGGTGACGTCATTTGTCTATTCCTCAGGTATCCTGAGGCACAAACCTGCCAAGGGCTTTAAAAGATCAATAGTTCTCACTCTAACCTTCAGTGGCTACAAAGAACATTCAAGGCTATAGTAAAAATCTGACCAGGTTTCTGAGCCCACACTCCTCGACTGTTTTCGGTACCTTGGATGATTTTCTGCTGCTGTTGTCGGATTTCATTAAAACCCAAGCCTCTGGTCTCTTCTGGCTCCTCAAAAAGCCAAGGGTTGGGGACGCCTCGCTTAGCCCCTCCCGTCATCAGGCTGGACCTAAGAACAAGATTAAATGTGTTACATAACACAAAATAGAGCTCTGCTGCAAATTACTCCCACAAGTGCAGAAGAAGCCAGCCTCGCATGCTTTGAAAATTCAATCCAACCACAATTTATTGCATCCTTAGTTTATGCCAGCAACTGTGTTCAGTGCGGGAAGAGATATGAGGATAACAAGGCACAAGCCTGGTCCCCCGGAGAATTATAGCCTCTTAGGGAGACTGCGGCAGCACGTAATACTCTTCCTAATCTTCCAAGATACATGTGAGTCAGTAATCATAAATGAGGGTCTTAAATTTCAAAGACACAAGGCCAAACGCAAGTGGTCTTTTTATCAGGACCAAGTTTGTCTCATAGGCTATGTGACAACAAAGGCACAAATAGTATATCTCAAGAAGATGCAATGTTGTGAGTATAGATTATAGCATTTAAAAAATGACCATATAATTTCCTACTAAAGTGTATTTGGTGGCTTACAGATAAAAACACATGCAGGGTTTTAAATCCAATTTTATGGATATAATATAGCATTCATAACAAAATAAACAAATTCTGAATGATTTTTCTTAATTCTTACTCCCTCTGGTAACCCACATGCCCCTTTTGCACCAGACATATTGGTCTTCTTGCTGTCTGAAAAACACACGTTTTTGGCCTCAGTCCCCATGTCTGTAGGATTTTCTTATCTCAAGATCTCCTCTCTCGTCCCCACCTGCCCACATTCTGTCCAAGCCACAAGGACCATCTTGTTCATGAAACCATGTCTGACCACTTCAACCTAGATGTGAACACTCGCTTTAGAGTATGATTCATAGGATTCACAAAAAATGATGACAATGACAATGGTGGCATAACAGTAGAAGCAGTGACAATAATAGTTAACATGTATTAAGCATTTGCTACATGCAGCCACAGCTCCAGGCGATTTATACGTATTCGCTCATGTCTCTGTTATTTGCAGTGCTTCTGGCTCTTTCTTTTCACAGCTCTCGTATTGTCTACAAATAACCGCTACCCTATTGTTTAACCTTTTACATAAATGAGCCTTATGTCTATTAGATATAAGGCAGGAGCTAAAAATCACCCTTGACTGGACTGCACAGTGCTCTCCCACACAGAGTGAAAAGCTGTCATCATAAGCTCAAATCCTGGCTTCACCACCTACCAGCAATATATGGATGGTAATACCTGCCTCAGAGAGCTGCTAGGGATTCAGTAAAATAATTCATTTATTCCAAAACCATTTCCTTAGCACTTACTATGTGGTAGGCATTGTTTTCATCAATGGGAGTGAGGGAAAAAACCCAGAAAATAGATAAAACAGACCAAAATCCCTGCCCTTACAAAGTATCAATTCTTATTACGGACAATGCTTTCATTCTGGTCGGGGGCGGGGGGGGAGGGACAATGTGCAAAATGTGTGCAAAGTGCTAATGCAATGCTTGGAACATAATAACCAGTCAATAAATGTTCATTATTATCATTTTACCAATTATTGTACTGTAGTCCCAGGAGGCACTGAAATATTATTTTTTAATAAATGAGTATATCCCCAAAGGCCATATTAATTTCATTTTTAGTTTAGCACTATAAAACCTACAGAAGAATATGACCTGTATCAAGAAACAAACCCACGCAAAACTGGAAGGACATTTCTGACTCCTTAAACTAAGATTCTAAGCACAGAGCTGGTCTCTACTCCAGGGTTCTAATATGCCAAACACAAGCACACTTTCTTCCATGTTATCAGAAAGGTGGGCATGCTTCTTTAAAGCCTTACTCTACTTGGTTGGTCCCAAGTAACTAAAATGTCAAGATTTCAGGTTTATTCCCTATGATAATCATTCGATTTCACCTAGCTTTGAAGACGGGAAGAAAGTAACAGAAAGAGGAAAGAAGGAAGTTCACAATTAAAGTACACCCCTAGCTTACACCATCTTGCAAGTGACAGCTCTTGGTCTAAACAGGAGATGTGGGATATTGTGCATGGTCCACTGCAAAAGCAAGTGATAACAATGGGTCAGACGTAGATAGAGTAACCTCGAAAGTGCACCTGTCACCAGCTCTGAGCATCCATTCAAATTAGCATATTGCACCTGAATTGACAGTAAACATTAATCCTCTAAAGCTAATGCTGGAATGTCCCACTGGTAGGTCTTGCCACACCTCCATACAGCATATGATTTTTAATTATTAAAGGGGAAAAGAAACACGTATGAAAATTATCTTAGCAACCTCAAAAAATAGCAAATTAGAACTACAGCCTTTAATTATACATATATATTTAAAAATAAATGATGTATTTTTTAAAAACAGCTATTAGAGAGTAAAAGTATAACATGGGCACAACTTAATATTTATATCAAACACACATCACAAGAAAAAAAAAAGAAAAACAACCAACCCATCAACCAACCACCAGACACGCAAGGAGAGATTTCCCAGGGCTGAATTCCGACTATAAAAGTTCTAAGCACTGAAAACATTATCTTGGTCTCACTCTCACATAGTTCACTATAAAAGCAATAGTAAACTGCAATGCAGTTTGCCAAACGAAAAACGGTTCCCGGATGCCTTCTTTCTGGGTTATCTGATTCCAAATTTTTTGGTACGTTCTTCAAGGCTGGAGTCTCCTTTCCTCCCTCTCCCCTCTCCTCTCTTCTTTTGGTGACTATATTTGCTGATGCCCCAAGCCTACTGGGAAATGCAACAATGAGCAAGCCTTAACCATAAAGCAGGTAAAATCACAGGTAAGATCACAGGTATCGCTGTACGCAGAAGACATGATTTTCTTTTCATTAGGTTTTACGCTCCACAGAATGTTTGGAGTGATGCCTATTATTACTCAGCATTTTCCTAGGTGCAAAGGAAAACATGAAGGAATTTAAGACATAATTCTTGCTTTCAAGGAGTTTACAATCAAACTGAAAAGAAAAGCTAACCACACATGAAGCAATTACTAGATGAAATAAGAGAACAGCTCGCTTTGTCTCCCTGGGCAATTCCAATAACCTCTTCAGCTCGGGTTTTTCACCCATACAATAAGCAAACTAAGCAGGTCAACGGTTTTCCACCCTCGTTCTAGTCCAGCCCTTGAAGAGCACGACACCCTCCGGTGGGGAGGTGAGTGGGGAAGACTCACCTTGGTGGGGGACCCAGGTATTCTTTTTATTCCTGCAAAAGATGATTCCTTATTATTGGAAATCACTGAATGAACGAAATGATCTCTAAGATCCATACTGCTTTAATTAAAATTGTTCTGGTTAAGTACCAAATTGCATACATAAGAACAGAGGAAAAAATAACAATTTCATACTCTCGTGTGTTTGCATGAGTCTGGAGGGCCCCTGCCCCCACCCCTTGGTCCATCTGGCAAAATTCTATTCATCCATCCCCTAAGGCTCAACTCAAATGTCACTTCTGTTTGGTCTTTCCTGATCCCCATCCCCACCCCCTTTCCCTTGAATCAATCACTCCCTGGTGCTCCCATGGCACTCTGTTCACATTCTCCTACCAGTTTTCCTGAAATGAAAGAGACAGTTCAGTTCAAGACCACCACCAAGTCACCAGCTCAGACAAAGCCTGGAATCATCTCTGACTCTCTCTCGTACCCCACAGCAGCCAAGTCCATTAACAAATCCTTCAAAACCTATCTAAAGTCTGACCATCACTGCTCTATTGCTTCCGCCCTCGTACTCCTGCCACCGGCTTCCACACCTACCCTTTACCATCTGCCCCTCACACAGCTGTCAGAACGATCATTGTAAAAATAAATCTGCTACCTCTGCGCAAGACCTTCTCGTGTCTTTCCATCACCCTCAGCATAAAATGCAACACTTTTTCTATAACCTACAAGCACACTAGCCTCCTTGCTGTTTCTAGGACACACTGAGCATGCTCCCATCTCAGGGCCTTTGCACCTGCCGTCCCCTCCTACTCACCACAGCTAAGGCACTCTTTGCCCCATGGTCACATGGCCTTGTTCCCGTATTCATTCCACTCTGCTCAGATGTCAGCTCCTTAGAGAGGTTTCCCTGATTACCTACAATAGTAGCCTTCCCTGTAACTCCTTAGCTCCCCCCTAATCCTGCTGTATTTTTCTTTATAGTACTTAAAGTACCAGCTGTTATATGCTATATTATATATGTGTTGATTTTCTGTCTCCCACACTAGACTATAAGCCCCACAGGGTACAGACTGTCTTGTTTGTCACTATATCCTTAGTGCCTAGCATAACAGGCTCTGAAACAAAGATTTTGAATGAATTAACTTATTCAGCAAATAACACAACTGAATGAATAAAATATATAAGAAGGGTAGTCAGGAAATTATAATGTCATATACTGGTGCTATGTTTTGTGATTTCAAAGGCATTTTGCAAACATTATCCCACTTGAATTGTAAGCACGCCTGTGTGTCAGTCAGAGCTGGTACTAATAAGAAAACCAATGTAAAGAGACACCAAAGTGACCTTCTCAAGGTCACACTCAGTGGCAGAACTAAAGGTTCAACGCACAGCTTCTGAGTCTCACTTAACCCAAGGCACTTCCTTTCTACCATCTCAGGGAAGGTTTCATAAAAGGAGGTTCAAGACAGCCATCAAGAAATGGTAAGGGTGAGCAATGTGAGAGGGAGATGGGAAGGCATTCCAAGAAAGGGTAAGACATGAATGCTGTCTCCGAGGCAGGGAAGGTGAGCCATAAATGTGTGCATGGAATAACGGTGGAGAATGGGTGAAATCTGGGGAGCTGGATCTAGTAGAATAAATTCCCAGGTAAACAGCCATAGTGAAACTCTACCTGTTCTCCTAGTCCCTTTCATCCTCACACTCTTCCAGCATCTTGTAATTTTAGCCATTCGTTGTTCCCCATCCTATAAATCCTCAAGCAGTGACTTTCTTTCCTAGGCACAGCCAAACCTCCTTAAAAAATGTGGCTCGGGCTGGCCGAGTGGCGCGATGGTTAAGAGTTGGCTTGGGACGCCAGAGGGCCCCGGTTCAGGTCCCACATATGAGGGCCAGTGACACTGCCCTCCACAGCTAAGATGCTGGACGGCAGCTCAACCTGGAGCTGG